GTGTACTGACCGAATCGCAAATCGGCGGATCATTGTGGAACAATCAATTGAGTGGAATTCGTCACTCTACATCAACTTCATTGACTACGAGAAAGCATTTGATAGTGTGGACAGGACAACACTATGGAGGCTTCTCCGAAACTACGGCGTGCCTGAGAAGTCAGAAAATAGCATACGAAATTTCTATAGTGGTTTGAACTGCCGAATTGTTGATGGAGACTCTAGACCCCGGCTATTGGAGATAACCTTCCCCTCATCCCATATGGCAGCTGCAACTCTGGAAGTATTTCGTGCCAATAGACGATGGCTGCCAACGGGTATCCATTCGCATCCGGATAGGCCACAGGACAACAGGATCAAACACAAACACAAACTGACAATTCCACTTGTGGACTGTCTTGATCATAAAAAAACGTATCAAGGACAGAGACTATCAACTCGGTAAACATTGTATAGGTAAGCTACATGTCCACTCCCGCAAGGCTCATATAGACACACAGGAAGAAGCTCATGCGGTCGAAATTGATAGCATAAACTGCTTATACACGAACGCCGCGAGTTTGCCAAACAAAATGGATGAGCTACGTGAACTTAGCAACGCTAATGATGCTAATCTGATAGGAATATCCGAAACTTGGATATCTTCTCAGTTTACGGATCAGGAGTTAGCAGTACCTGGAATGACTTTATTTCGCAACGATAGGAAAATTGGAATGTGGGGCGGGGTAGCATTATACATACGATCATGCCTGCAGGCGCACCAACTTCACAAACAAGAGTTTCTCAATCTTGATGAATCAGTATGGTGCTCAGTAAGATTGTCTACCACCTCGAGGTGTCTAGTTGAAGTCAACTACAGGAAGCCTATTGCCGACATCGAAGATGACAATCGTTTGCTGGAAGGATTAACCTGCTCTACGCGTCTTGGATTCTCTCATATCTTTATTCTAGGGGACTTCAATCTTCCTAGAACCAACTTCGTGGAACATACCTACATTGGAAGTAACAACTCTACTGAAGCTCGGTTGTTCAACCTCATTGATGATCTGGGATTATTCGAAAATGTGAAGTTGGCAACTCGTTGGATAAACAGTCAGACGCCGTCGCGCTTAGACTGGGTATTCACAAATGAAGAATTCCAATCGACAACCTCTCAGTTATGGCTCCCCCTGGGGAAAAGTGATCACGCCGTTCTATCCTTCAGTTTTGCCAGCAAAACTGAGCTAAGATATCCCACCAACAACAGACGCTGGAATTTCAAACGGTTGAATGTGTTAGCTTTACATGACTATCTACAACGGGTAGATCGGCATGCTCACCCTCAACTTGGAGTGGATGCTCATTGGGATTTCCTACTGCACACGCTCTTATGTGCGACAAAGAATTTGGTTCCTCAAATGATCCCAAATAGTTACAATCAACCTACGATCATCAAGAACCGCACTGATTGTTTGCTAAGCCTCAAAAGGCACTGTTGGGCCGAATATAAACGAACGGAAAACAACGGCGCGTACAGGCAATACAAACACACAAGAGACATATGCACATAGGCGATCAGAGAAGACAGGCTTCAGTACCAGACCAAGCTTATCGATAAATTTGTCCCCAACCAAGCTTATTCCGTTGCGCAGCTTCTCTTCGACAAGCCAAAACCGGAGTTTCCCAAATTCTGGATCCGACCAACAACGACGGTGATGTCGCTAACCATTTAGCTGAACAATACTCTCGGACATTTAAGTCGACCCACATGAACTATATTGAAGAAAGCTTCACCTGCACCTGCACAGGACTTTCTGAAGTGTACCTGAGCGCCGACCTGGTGCTCCGTAAACTGCAGCGCATAAGAAAAGACACTTCTCCCGGTCCGGATATGGTTCATTCTGCTATATTGAGGGATACAGCTTCAATCCTGGCAACACCACTTGACGTGATGTTTTCACACTCACTAAGTCAAGGCAAACTGCTGGAAATTTGGAAGTTGGCCCACATCACACCAATTTTCAAAGTAGGTCGACGCAGCGAACCCTCAAGCTACCGACCAGTGGCCCTTCTCTCCATACCTTCTAAAAGTGTGGAGTCTCTAATATACGACGGTATGCACGATTAACTATTATCCCTAAAGTTCATCTCACCCCAACAGCATGGATTCAGTAAGGGTCATTTTTGTATAACCAACCTGCTGACTGCGGTGGATAGATGAACAACCATCCTTGATCGCAATGGGAAGGTTGACGTCAAAAGGTTTTGATAGGGACAACCACATATGTCTTATCAATAAAATTAGACGATTGGGTATCAAACCTTCTCTGATTGACTGGCTCGCTTCATATCTAGAAAACCGAAATTTTAAGGTCAGGTAAACTTCACTCTCTCTCGGGTTATAGAATGTCGTACTGGGGTCCCTCCGGGATCAATACTAGGACATCTTTACTTCTTGATTTACATTAGTGGTCTTCCACAACAAGTTTCACCTGACTTATTGCTTTTTGCTGATGTGAAACTTTGGAGAGATATACGTAACCAAGAGGATATACTAGCACTTCTGGAGGATCTGACTCGACCTCAAAGTTGGGCAGATAACAACGGACTTACCTTGAACATTTCGAAGTGTAAAGTAGTCCATCTGCGACATGTTGCAGACTATAGTTACAACTTAGGAAACTCTTCTCTAGAGGTATCCCAAGTCGAAAAAGGGTTAAGCGTGTTGTTAAACAGTCAGACGCCGTCGCGCTTAGACTGGGTATTCACAAATGAAGAATTCCAATCGACAACCTCTCAGTTATGGCTCCCCCTGGGGAAAAGTGATCACGCCGTTCTATCCTTCAGTTTTGCCAGCAAAACTGAGCTAAGATATCCCACCAACAACAGACGCTGGAATTTCAAACGGTTGAATGTGTTAGCTTTACATGACTATCTACAACGGGTAGATCGGCATGCTCACCCTCAACTTGGAGTGGATGCTCATTGGGATTTCCTACTGCACACGCTCTTATGTGCGACAAAGAATTTGGTTCCTCAAATGATCCCAAATAGTTACAATCAACCTACGATCATCAAGAACCGCACTGATTGTTTGCTAAGCCTCAAAAGGCACTGTTGGGCCGAATATAAACGAACGGAAAACAACGGCGCGTACAGGCAATACAAACACACAAGAGACATATGCACATAGGCGATCAGAGAAGACAGGCTTCAGTACCAGACCAAGCTTATCGATAAATTTGTCCCCAACCAAGCTTATTCCGTTGCGCAGCTTCTCTTCGACAAGCCAAAACCGGAGTTTCCCAAATTCTGGATCCGACCAACAACGACGGTGATGTCGCTAACCATTTAGCTGAACAATACTCTCGGACATTTAAGTCGACCCACATGAACTATATTGAAGAAAGCTTCACCTGCACCTGCACAGGACTTTCTGAAGTGTACCTGAGCGCCGACCTGGTGCTCCGTAAACTGCAGCGCATAAGAAAAGACACTTCTCCCGGTCCGGATATGGTTCATTCTGCTATATTGAGGGATACAGCTTCAATCCTGGCAACACCACTTGACGTGATGTTTTCACACTCACTAAGTCAAGGCAAACTGCTGGAAATTTGGAAGTTGGCCCACATCACACCAATTTTCAAAGTAGGTCGACGCAGCGAACCCTCAAGCTACCGACCAGTGGCCCTTCTCTCCATACCTTCTAAAAGTGTGGAGTCTCTAATATACGACGGTATGCACGATTAACTATTATCCCTAAAGTTCATCTCACCCCAACAGCATGGATTCAGTAAGGGTCATTTTTGTATAACCAACCTGCTGACTGCGGTGGATAGATGAACAACCATCCTTGATCGCAATGGGAAGGTTGACGTCAAAAGGTTTTGATAGGGACAACCACATATGTCTTATCAATAAAATTAGACGATTGGGTATCAAACCTTCTCTGATTGACTGGCTCGCTTCATATCTAGAAAACCGAAATTTTAAGGTCAGGTAAACTTCACTCTCTCTCGGGTTATAGAATGTCGTACTGGGGTCCCTCCGGGATCAATACTAGGACATCTTTACTTCTTGATTTACATTAGTGGTCTTCCACAACAAGTTTCACCTGACTTATTGCTTTTTGCTGATGTGAAACTTTGGAGAGATATACGTAACCAAGAGGATATACTAGCACTTCTGGAGGATCTGACTCGACCTCAAAGTTGGGCAGATAACAACGGACTTACCTTGAACATTTCGAAGTGTAAAGTAGTCCATCTGCGACATGTTGCAGACTATAGTTACAACTTAGGAAACTCTTCTCTAGAGGTATCCCAAGTCGAAAAAGGGTTAAGCGTGTTGTTACCCTACGACTTGAAGTCGTACACTAAATGTGACAAAAACGCATTTCAAGCAAGCGCATTTTTGGCCAGTTTGACGGTAGATTTTTCCACATAATCTTCAGCAGTTTTATTCGTCCCCATTTAGAGAACGGAAACCTAGTATTTCCTCCCTCCCTCCAAAAGGATAAGGACACTCTGGAACGTATACAACGTCGAGTCACGAAATCAGTTCGGGGACTCGAATCCAAACTTTATAAAGAGTGCCCTCTATCACTTAAGCTTTACCTGTTATACTATAAGCGTCTTAAGAATGACCTTCCTATGACTTCCAGTATCCTTAACACTTCTGGTCATCCCCTTGAACATCTTCTTAAGCTCAGTCACAACACTAACCTAAGAGGTAACACCCAGAAACTGGAGACCCATTATAGCAAAACGGACTGTAGACACAACTTCTACTCCTTAAGAGTTGTCAAATGCTGGAATTCGTTGCCGACTGAGCTGGTCCAAGTGACTTCTCAAGGGTCCTTTATGAGGAAACTTGACCTATTCTTAATGACTAACTATGACATATTGTTATGATTTACCAAATTATTTTTCCCCCTCTATTATCGCTAATATACCTAGGTTCATGCCTGGAGGTATTGGTGATCCACTGCAACTAAACACGGAAGCCCGTTAAACGAAAGGTTCTTCTATTCCGTCCACAACCATTTTAACCACTTTGAACCATTTCTGTCAGAATACCAGTACTTATTGCAAGTGAAAAACACTTAAACTGAAAGACAAGCCGTTTTTCCTGTTCAAGATACATATATTGAACATTAGATGTAACAACACAATTAGTTGGACATAAAAAGCTACGAAATTTCCTATCTTGTCAATTTTGACGAATTTATGGTTCTATTCTATCAGATGGGTGTCGGTTTTATAAATTCGTTTAATCGTGTATTTACCTACGATTGACGTACATACTGAACGGTTAACCTTGAAGTGGAGTTTTTTATTTCTAGCGATGACCTCTAAGCGGGTTGTGGTTTCAGCTGTGAATTGGTCTGAACTGTATTCTAAATGCCCGAAACATCAATTAGATCAATTCAGGGAGTTAAAGACAAAGTCAGACAATCTTGTATCAAGGTAAAATAGCTTACTTTACTAGATATTGTTCGTTATAGGATAACATCGCTTCCAGAATCTTTGCCACCAATTAATTGGGAACACTATGCCCATGTTGTCGCAATCCCAGGACTGGTAGATAAGTTCAAGAAGCAATATACAGCTTTGTCAATTGAATATCCTAAAGATACATCGGATGCTATCACTAAAGTTCAGAGCCAAGGAAGAATTATGGTAAGTGTTTCTTTTTACCTGACGACTTTGCAGATAGCGAACGCCAAACGTCATGCAGATTCTTGTTTAAAGATGAAAGCTAGTGCAGAAAAAATGGTAGCTTTCCCTAAATAACCCTTACTTTTACTAGAAAGCTGCTCTAAACAAACTGCCTCCTGTAGATGAGGTTGTGCCAGAAATCATGGTTGCATATTTTGGGCTTCGGAGCGAACGATTTATCGAACGCCGGAAACCAATATCATTAGGCAGTACGGCCATTTTAAAAAGGTCTGCACCGCCGATTCATTGGGACTTCAGTTAACATAAATGACCAGTTCTAGTTACGTATTCGATTAGTTTGTACCCTCCATGTCCCCTAAGTTTAGTGAAAATTACACATTGTTCTACTTATTGCCATTTCTATTAGTTATCTCAGCTGTCTAGAGAACTTCGGTAGCCATGTATTTAGGTTTTTAACTTTATGTACTTAAACGGATTCCTGTTGTAGTCATTTGCGTGTTTGCGACGTTATTTGAAATCAGTTGGTCTTAATAAATTTTGATGAAGGGCGATATCTGAATTTTTATGTATCACAAGAAAGTTGGCTGGTACTAGTTACAACCAGGACCAATCAGTCCGATAACACTGGGTACTAGTAAGGTGATATGTAGCGTGTTTGGTTATGACAGTAATACACTCGTCAATTCGTTTGTTTCTACTGTTCCTGCTACTATATGCACGGTAATACGTCTTTATCTGCACTTCTTAGTTGACTTTTGATTTCAGTTGATGGTAAAAAAGCTTACTAAGTAATGGATAGATCTACAAATATGCACATAGTGAATACAGCTAACAAACGAGTGGCACATTCCTAAGGACTTCGCTTCATTCCGTACCACAAAATTGTGTCTTAGTAACCGATTTCATTCACAATTGAGAATTGATATTGGATTCCAGATATGCAAAACGAGAAGTGGTTTAATTTAGTTGTCCAACTTGGATTTCATACAAATGTAGACATCCAGAATTAGTGTCTAAGTAGATTATAATTAATGCTTTCGCAACTAACCCGTTGACTACCGAGAGTGGAGTTGTTTTCTAAATAAGAATTGTGTTCCAAACTGTGTGCAACAGGTTTAAGTGGGTTTCTGTGCCAGTACACTGATTGTCCACTCCCTGAAATCTAGTAAGCTATTGTAATAATGAAGGCAAGTTCTTCCAAGTAATGACATGGTATGAATTTTACTTAATATCTAACCTGTAGGCGACTTACTTTTTTTATCTTTCGGACTACCCGCAAATTATTGAACTCTTACTTATTCGTGATCGCTAAAATAACGCCCTATTATCCACTGAGAAAAAGTCAATGAGATACTTAACGTCAGTTCACACAAAGCAGATTAGCTGTCCTCTACGGTGCCACTGGTGAAATAAAGATAATTTAATTAAATTTCTAATCGCTTCTGCTAGTTCGTTTCTCAGTTGGGCGTCTTTTCTTTGCATTTGATAGTATTGTAGAACATCAACGTTGATGGTCTATGTCGAATGATTGAAGGCCTACTCGAGTTAGACGGGGACGGTATAACGAATAAGCTAACTTCGGAGTCACACCTTGCGACCAGCACCTTACGTGGAAGTCCCCATCGACGTATCAAGGGACCGTCGATGGTCTGAAGACTGTACAACACAAAGGACGTTATTACAAGAATATATTAGTTAAGGTACAACCACTGCCGCGTGGGCCAGTCCATGGCGTATGATTGATGCGTGTTGACTATTGAAACGTAGGAGCTGTGTCTCACGCCGAGTTGCAACGTGATCTGGTACGGATGCATGACCGAAAGTCCGCTTAAACAACGTGGTTAGCATCCAATGTCGAACACTTAATGAGCTATTGGTTTTGGGGAATTATTTACAGCTACAGTATCTTCAATTCAGCGACAAGTAGCTGCGATTCATCTGGATGACTATTGACGTTCAAATCTCGTACTATCAACTCTCAATCTTACTGCACTGTAATAAACCGGCGGTTGGCATGTAAATGTAACCACTGATCATTTCAACCCAGATATAATAAGCAAGACGTTAGCTTGGTACTTTATGATAACAGCATGATATATCGAAGAGTAGTAATACCAGAAACTACTACCATGGTGCTAATGAACTTATGTAAATAGGCTGTTTAGACAAACTTGGGACGCTTGCGACATTATCCGTTCAGGCGTCAGATATTCTGTTGCTTTTCAGTATGAAAAATTAGTAAGTTGGTCCTGTGGTGTGTAAAGTTTTCTTACCCCACGACTCCCATTCGTAGACCTTAATGTATGACGGACGAAACAATCAACATCTTCAGAAGTCCGCGCGAACACTTATGGTTCCTAGATTACTGGATTTTTCAGGAAATAATTCCGTTTGCTTGCGACATGAATGCCTACTCTTTTTGATTGCTCCTCAGTTATTCGTTCACTTACCAACGCACTTGGAGGTTTTCGGATACATAAGGCTAACAAGATGAACGCTAGCCAAAATCCTGACATCTCAGGTTATGTATGTTTGCTGTGTCCCTACGATATGCATAATAATTCTAAGTATAACTGCCCACTTAACTAGTATGATTCAGGGTGTTTTCTATAGTTCTACCAAATCCTACTTTGAGGGGTTATGACTTAGTGATAATCACCAGTTGAGTGTACGCTGTTACAGATACAATGTCATGGATGTCTAACTTATCAGTGATTCGCAAACAGCTATGACTTGCGGCCAGTGGAAGTAAAATGTGATTAGCCATTGAGCGTGGAAAGACTAGGCTACCTACTGTATAATATGTAATTCCCTTCCTATCATTGAGTTCTACTCCAAACTTCGAATGCATACTGCCTGTAGTCGTGTTGCATACTGTTCACTACCTACTCCGGTTCTCTATATTTGGTCAAAAATCTTGCATCTGGTATAGTCGCGACCCCCATCTACCTAGCAGACCAATAGAGTATCCAGTCTAGTAGTAGTATATTCTCGGCTACTTTTCGTATCATATTGGTACGATTTGGCAAACAGAAATAGTTTCATTCTACCGTCGTATGAAGCTTTTAAACATTCCACTCAACTTGAAGACATCAGAACTCTATTTCATAAAGCAAGGGTTTTAAGTGCACTGAACAACAACCTGGAGAAACTAAACATGAGTCTCTCACCTGTAAGTTTATTTCAAAAATAAACAGTGAGACAGTTGACTGTACTGGCTGGCTTGTGCATTTTGTGTACTGATATATTGGATATAAGTGACTTTCGCCAATATACAACTAATCGCTGGGAAACTAGCATATTCACCTAATGTTACTGAACTAGGCATATGAATAATCCATAAAACTAGTGACTTTTGGTCTGTGCTTATGTGAGACAGTACAGGTTTTCTGAGCAGAATTCTCAAAGTGATGGAAGCAAAGGACCGAAGACCCTAAGGGGATTGGTCAGAGTCGGAATGATAGTTACACTCTTCACCCTTCTGTAAATAGTGAACGTTTTATTTAGCCGAATCGACTCTTCCACACGTTCCTTATTTCCATGCTATTACGTCTATGCTGTTGAGATGTGCGTCAATGTGTTTTGTATTTATCCAACTAAATACTATGTAGCAGATTGTTTAAAGTTTTTACTATAAAAAAATATTCGAAGCAGTCACAATAGGTGTAATCAACTTGTAACAATATTATGTTCTTTCTTCACAGGTTTTATTAATTTCCAGATGGAGGAAAGAATTAGACTGCTATACAAATGATAAACACAAGTAGAGTTATCTGTGTATCTGTAGAAAACCACAAATGACAATAAGTAACGAAACTTTTTATTAAGATAAACAAACAGTTCAACTATATATTAGATGAAAAATATTCGCAGTAGCACAATCACTCCCCTCAGACATGAAACATACTGTAGCAAGAAAAGTGTGTGATAATTATTAGTAGGTATTGTTCCACAAAGAGTAAACAAAAAACAAAACCAAATAATAAACGAAATTAAGTCATGGAATTTAGCAAAGCAGAAATATCACATTATTAGATCACATTTTTAGTGAATGCAGTACAATCACTACAAAAGATATTTATGAAAAAAGGGATTCATACTATATGTACACTAATGATGCAAAGCAGGACGATAACTAGTCAAAACAAAGCAAGTCTGTAACAGCATCCTGTTTATTCGACTTACTGTCGCCTGTATGAGGACCCCAAGTAGATAAGGAGTTCCAGTTGTTCATATCTAACACCTCGTCATCACCCTCATTATCAGAATATCGGCTATTGGGATTTATTCCTGCCAAGTCTATTAATTTGACATCGTCAGTTAACTGGTTATACTTGCTACTGACAGATTTTTCTCCAACTGACTCAGCACTGATTACATCCTCATCGATATCTTCACCGCCTTCATCTTCGCCTGTATTAAAAATCCCTAGGTTGTACGCAAATGCATCTCTAGCCAGATCCACTTCAAGTGGGAAAATTTTAATTTGCTTCATGACACCATAACACTGATCATGGTAGGTGGCCATAGCATCGATGAAACGTTGTAACTCAAACACAATATCTTGTACTGGTGAAGCGGAAAAAAACGAAAGCCGACAACGGTTAATTTCAAACAAATATGAGAAATATAATCTCACTTTACTTACCTAATCATATAGATCTGTGGCAAACTATGAATACTATATTTCTAAGGATCCAAAGACATTGTACAAAAAGTCATGGTAGTCCGAAAAATTATTACTAGGTTGTTTGGTATGTTACTCAGAATGTACGTATCGACAAAATACTCAACCTTAAAGCTGTTTATCTCTAACGAAGTTTAATTTTATGATATCATGAAATACGTTAATAGTATGTTTAGATTCTTAGACACTTGGGAACCTGATTACTACACGTAAAACATCACACTCAGGTCCAGATCCAAATTATGACATATACACAATAGTTGGTTCGTACCATGATTTAGGTTCTGGATCATATGTTAAGCAGTATCTAATTCCACTTTTGAGTCTTCAGAGTACTAGTAAAATTCTTTATTACATCAGGAGTGTTGGTCGCTCAGACATCAAATCACGATATGAGAATGACGTCGTTTACCAATTGTCAGGCAGCTGTTGAAAGTAGGGATATCTCCGTCGAAAACAAAATGGATTATAACACACGGCAAATATCTAGTCGCTGTAAAAGCAGTATATCAGTCAGTTATCTCCAACGTAAGACTAGGTACATATATGCGTCGGTCCAAGTCGACATACCTCAAATAAGTGCAGTATATACCAGTTTGTACAAAACTACGTAAAAACACCACGATTTCCGACTACGGAAGTCTTGATGATGGTTCTAATATAAAGGAAAAATATCTTGACGTCAATAAAGTTGTATTAGACTACCGTTCAACGGAAATTCATGAATACCGTATTTCATAACTAAGTGAATGAGAAACGGTAAATACAATAGTAACTAAAACTAGAAATTTACGTAAATTATTTCGTCCTACTATTTACAATGTGAAGAAACCAGTACTTCATAATACTAACCTAACTGATCATTTATAAACCACGGGGCAAATTATAGTGTAACATTTTAAAATTTTATTTACTAGACTATTATTATTAATAGCTTTATTCAATATTATATGTTCAGTATAACATAGAAGCGACGTTTCCCGACCAAATAATTTCCAACAGGACCGTCAAAAATTAATTCCAGAGACTGTCATAATGCGATGACAGTTTTGTAAGATATGTGATGTCAATAGAAGTTCGATACATGTTTGGAAGCGGTAGGTGGTTTTTTGAACTATAATAACTGTAGGGTAGTGTGACTCAATTGCCAAGGACGACCTAATACACTTCAGGATTTGAATCACAGTACTTGTGCATGTACTGTAAAGATTATCCAGTTATCTAAACCGAAAGTGGAGTGCGGTTCAGATCTGTTACATAATAATTGAGAGGCAAGTGCTTTAACAGATAAGCAATCTCTTCATCTTTCATTGAGTGTTAATTACGGTTCTATATAGTGGAGGGTAAAACTGTAGTAGACGATCACTCAGGTCGCGAAGACCAATTTATTATTCATGCACAATCACACAGTGGTTTAGCAAAATATGAAAATCATACATCAAATACATCACTCGCACATCTCTCAGTTGTTCTTTACATCCTTTATAATTTTTCCAATTTCTTTCTGTTTTCTTCTCTCTTCTCTTCATTTCAATCCTCTTTTGACAAACATTCCACTTCTGATTGGTGTTACATACTACTTGCCGCAGTCTGTGCCGTACTCCCCATTAAAATGTCGGATTTGCTGACGAACTGATTTCCATAACAATATCGGCCTGCCGGGCCATCTGAATCCGATATCCGCCCAGTGCCTGCTCTCTGGCGACCCATCGAGCCATTTACATCCGACGTCCGCCCGGCGACCCACTCTTTCTCTCCATTGGCAGCGACTTCTGCAGCCAGTGCCGCCCCGCCCGAACATACCACTGGACGTCACCCTCCTCAAAAAGACAGCCCCAACTAGCGCCTCCCCCTCTCAACCTTGCAAGGGCGTTCGCAGAACTTCATCTCTTCTTTTGCAGCGGCACTAAATGTAGTGAACAAATACTTGGAGGGGAAGACCAATCAGTTAATACAAGGTTACAGAATGTCTTCGTAAAATACAAAAACCATACATTAAATACTTCATTTGCACATCTATCAGTTGTCTCTTACAAACTTTAACGTTCCTTTATTCCTGTGGTTATTACAATTACTCTCTGTTCTCTTCAATTCGATCATCTGGACCTTTTGCTGCCAGGCATACCACTTCTGGTCGGCGTTACATACTACTTATGTCTACCGACATACGTAGTACACACCACAAAACTACTGTGAATATATATATATATATATATATATATATATATATATATATATCATTGAACTAGATAACCATGGATTTTATTAAGATCGTACCGTTTATACAGTAACACGGAACGATTTTTCATTTACAAATGTTAACTCAACTACCTAGGAACCTTGTTACTTGAATTATAGATTAAATGTCTCCATAACAAAGATAAATCTATCTACATTTTGTTAATGAATCCAGAAAATGGTATACACGCCAAATTATTCTTCCACTGTTACTAAAATTTAATCGGATAGTTATCGGAGGTTGGACGTAATTAAAAAGGGAAAATAAATACACTACTTACCATGTTTATTATCCAACAATTCTAATTTTACTAAAACATCATTGCGCATCTTAGCGAACCGTGTACGTGCATCCTGTCGACATCTTAAAACAAGTCTATATTCATAATTTCCAGTTTCTACACGATATAGTGGTTCTTGAACCATAGCAAAACCGTACTCTTCATCGTCCATTTCCTTTACTTTAAGGCAATATGACTGGAGAAACAAAAGGAAATGAAATAAAAAATAACAACGATGTGTCAATCATGAAAAATATACCCAGTAAAAATCTATTGATTATCCAAGAGTAATATGATGGGCTTTGTTGAGATTTCCATGATACCGAATTTTAGCTAGTACTTCTACCTCCGACAAAGATATCTTTTTTTAGAAACGAGACGCCGTATTTTAAAGTGGATTATTTGGAGATAAATCCAAATAGAATATTAAGTAAAATTGTAATACATTCAGTTTAGAGGAAAGTCTTTTTAGAAGTAAACTGAAAGCTATACCAAATTTCGTTTTAAACTAATTTGGCAAGTACATATTTGTGTTGTCGGTTACTTGGGAGAACTTTTTGTGAGGACTAGTGAGGTAACCTGAATGTGGAAATCATAATAGATGGGTACAATCTAGAACCAAGTGGTTAAAAGTCATGTACTTTAACAACTACACCACTACTCCAAGTCAGTTATATTTTATTTCAGCATTTCTTTATTACAGAAAACTATAAAGTAAATATGTCCAGAGGTTATCTTAATCTAGTTTCTGACTACTTAAAAAGGTCTACCTTTGATTAATTACACAACGGAACTTCAAACCTTTGCCTCAGGTTTTACAACAGAGACATCACAATTATATTAAGTGAACAACACTACGATTTATAATGTCACTTGGTACAGACGTTATCATCATATATAATCTGTGGGCGTCTGTTCTTACTTCAAAGCCGATTAACTAAAGGAATCATCAAGGTCTTCTATTAGAACTTGTAGACAATAAGCTCGAAGCTATTCATCAGTAGGTAGTGAACTATTATACAATTTTATGGTTGGCTAGCTTCAACGACTGTTGTGACATGGAACTAACATCATGAGTGAAAACTCTAAGTGGAGGTTATACCTTGTGACAATGGTGACAATGTAATAACAAGTTGAAGCCAAGATCGACTTTTGGTATTATATCAGTCATGTGACCATTGCATTAGGATCAGCTTGTCATCTGCCCCTTATGCCTATTTAGTTTCCGTCCGAAACTTATTTTGGTCATTTGTAAGAAAAAAACGGAACCATTTAAGAGCAGTCAGAACTACCCCAACTTAAAATGTAAATTAAGTTGTTCAAAGATATTTTGAGAGAAAACAGTGTATGAAAAAATATTGTTAGATAACAGTACGCCTAGCAGAACAATCTAACTATTCAAGATATTAAAGAATATAAAAAGGATACGCCACAATTCCTTTGAATTATAATAAATACAGGCATTGACAACATATGATTGAGGTCGTACTGGGGAATTTTAATAACAAAGTAAATTGTTGAAATCAATGAAGCTTCTAATTATAACTAGGCTTGTTCAGCTGTGTATTTGCAGAACGGTTGGACAAACTAATCCATTTTTATTGATTACGGTTCCCATGTTTATCAGTTGACTTCTATTTTTTGTATGTAAAATTAAGACAAATAACCGATACTTATGCCGAATTCAGGACAGAAATCAGTCAATGGTATTCAGTAAATTTAAGTAGAAAAGTCACACTATCCTACGTTCAACAACGAAAAAATATTTAAAAAATAATTTCATGTCAGATACTTAGTATTAAAAAAGTACAGGACGAGCTGAAGAAAAATTAGTAAAATTTCGCATACCAAATATTCAAATTTGACATCTAAATACTTTTTGATTGTTAACTTTGTATCAGGAACCGCTTTATGTAGAAATGTGTTTAAATCCATGATCATCTATGTGGAATAACAAAAAATGAAAACATTTCACTACAGAAATGAGAGGGAAAATAATTACAAATACTAATGTTTTAAGAAATGGGCAAGATGGGTTTTAGATACGAACAATATGCAGACATTTTGAGAAAAACCGTGGAACAATGTTACTCTTAGGTCTAAAAATACTCCCCTCATTTGTAGAGTTGTTAGCTATAAATCTACAGTCTTAACATACAACCCTTGGGAGGCCCCCAAATGCCCTGGTACGATGCTCCACTGCCTTGTGGATCAGATCTTTAAGTCGAAGGTTCCGGGTGTGGCCGCCTAAGAAAACCACCTGCTTCGATTTGGGCACCTGGAAAGTATCAGAGCCCTCACACAAATCAAACGAGATTTGTGTGGCGCATATATATGTGGTGCCCCTTTGTACCAATATTCATGTGTTTAAATAAATCAATATTGGTTCAAGTATTATCAGAAATATTTGAATTACATAAGTAGGATGGTTTGCAAGTTAGAGTTGGTATGCCTTCTGCAAAACTGAACGAAGTAACTCGATTTTAAATAGATTTATTCTCCATCTGGTTTCTGAAACAGTCAAGTGAATTACGGGAAATAAATTATAAATAATTGCAGAATAATGATTTTATAGATTTGATGTAAACTCCGTTTGCAACCCTTTTAGGGGTTACTTTCGGTTCCAAGCCCAGGTAAAAGAGTCTTGGCTGTGAAGTTAACAAACCACACCACGTAAAAAAAGGCAACCAGAGAAAACAGATTGTTCCATTTAAACTATGCCCAGAGAGACGAAGTTTTTCACGAAGAAAAGTTATGACTTAGGGTGAAGACTGAAAATCTGCTCCTTCTGACAAATATGCAAACAATTATAGCACCCCTAATTGACATCAAAACATCACACACACCTTCCCACAGATGACACTCCATAAACAATAGAAGAAACCACCAAGGCCACCGGATAAATCAAAGATGACAAACAGCAGAAGCATATCACATGAGGCACTAAAGTAAGATATAGAGGTGACTGCAAAGGTTTTTCACACTTTATTCAGAAGGATCTAGGAGAAAGAACAAGTAGCAGAAGACTGGAAAATGAGATGGCCCATTAAGATACTGAAGAGAAGAGATGTTTACTGCTGTAAGAAACACTGAAGGGTCACGTTATCCCCTGCACCAGGTCGATTATCAACCGAGTGTTATTGGACCAAATGGAAGACTCAGTGGGTGGGTGATTTCGAGATCAAAAAGGTGGCTTTCATAAAGACCGATAATGTGCCAACAAAATTTTCCACCAGCATACGGGACTCCTACAACAGAACGAATTGCAAAGTCGTGTATGGACGGCAGCTCACAGATCCGTTCCAAGTGATGACCTGTGTTAGGAAAGACTCCCTACCCTGACCTTTTCTCTTTCTTCTGGTTGTTGATTGAATTATGAAGACTTCTACGTCTCCGGCGAAGCATAGAGTACAGTGAACAGCTTGAAAGCAGCTGGATGATTTGCACTGTGCGGATGACAGCTATGATATCGCATACACAGAAATAAATGAAGACAACGACAGCCAGTTCATCAGCGGGCTCTGCAGGAATTGCCTTCAACGTCTACAAGGGAAGAAGCAAAATCTTGAATTGCAACACAGTGAGCACCAACTCAAACATATTTGGTGATCATGCTCTGGAACAGGTGGAAGCTTTTACACGCTTGTACAACATCAATGATAAACAGTGTTATATCCCCTGGTGAATTATGGATCGTAAATCTGAGGTCTATTATCGATCAATGTATTATTCCTATTTCTTATTGTACAGTTGTTACGTAACTAAATTATTCATATTCGTGTTTTCTATTATTTTGATCTTTGATTTATGATCATACGATTCTTGAGTTATAATCAGTTTATTGATTACTTTGGTTTGTATAAAAACCCAGTATGCTTGTAAATAATGATTCATATTGCCGAGGCTGTTATTTGTGTTCTAGACTTAACTGGCTGGGCTAGGCAGATAGGAAGGACCGAATAGCACCCAAGACTGCTCAGGGCATACTTTATAGCAGTGGCGACGGGGATTTTGGTACGCAAAAGAAAAAAGTATACAGTTTTCGACGGGGATTCTGGAAAAAAATACAGCAATCAAGACTGCTCGTACGTATTTCAAGTATCATTTGCATCCGATCAGTAAAATCCACTCCTCTCTAAATTGGCGTTCATAAATTACGGGCCCATACGATATAACAACTGACGACAGGGTAAAAAAATGGCTTTAACTTCCGATCAATTTCAGTTGCTAATTCAAAGACAAGAGCAGCGTTTTAAAAAGAGTCAGTTGGATTTCATTGACAAGTTACACGCGACGCTGCTGAATCACCCATGCTTTGGGGGTGCAACGGAAGTTGACGCATTGATTTCTAAATTGCGTATAGAACTGGAAATCGATTACAGAACAAATGAATATGCAGAGGAAAGCCTCTATGAATCCGCGAAAAACAGTAATTTAGATGCAGCAGTAACAGTCCTACATGATCAGCCCAGTAGTCCGGTGCTGCCTGTTTCAGAGACATGCCCTATACACGGTCCAAGTCCTATTAACCCCGAAAACGGACGTGCAAACAGTGGATCAACCTGTTTACAGAAAGACAATGTTTTGCTAAATGCTCATGAAATTACTGTAGTACCCGCCCACGAAGAAACGGGGAACAAATCGGGCAGTATATTGAATACAGTGACGCCAAATCAAACCAGTCATTATGCAAAAAAGTTTTTTTATGAATCTAATGATCAAGATTATCTAATTGTTCTGCCAGATCCCGATTATTTTGCTGATTCATATGTTCCAGTTCAAATCTCTTATAAAAATGGGAGAAAAATATCGGATGCATTAAATGATAATCAAGAATCCAATACAAATTTCATAGATACTGATTATCCTAATGATTCATTATTTACTAATGAGGTTCCGAGTAAATTCAAGGAAACTGTTTCAGAAGAATCAGACGCTGGTGACCTCAAATCGAATGTAGTCGATCCTCACGATCTAATAAGTTCTCGTGGATTCTCAGCTAAATACGACGAATATGTTTTAAATAATGTCACAATAATGGTAACTTGGGTTCATGAGGATCCAACAGTCTTTCGTGGAGGGGGGATGAATTCGAGAAATTAAAAATCCGGATGTCAACTCCGGATTTCTCAAAAAGGGGAGGTGTTATATCCCCTGGTGAATTATGGATCGTAAATCTGAGGTCTATTATCGATCAATGTATTATTCCTATTTCTTATTGTACAGTTGTTACGTAACTAAATTATTCATATTCGTGTTTTCTATTATTTTGATCTTTGATTTATGATCATACGATTCTTGAGTTATAATCAGTTTATTGATTACTTTGGTTTGTATAAAAACCCAGTATGCTTGTAAATAATGATTCATATTGCCGAGGCTGTTATTTGTGTTCTGGACTTAACTGGCTGGGCTAGGCAGATAGGAAGGACCGAATAGCACCCAAGACTGCTCAGGGCATACGTTATAACAAACAGGGAGCATCTGATGCTGATGTCGAGACACAAATTGGAAAAGCGGGAGCAACAACACTACAAGTGAAAAGCATCTGAAACTCAAATAACTGTCAGCCAACACCAAAGTCAGAACTTTCAACGCTAACGTTAAAATGATTCTATCGTGTGGAGCTGAAATTCAAAGAACTGCCGCAACCATCATCAAAAGTGTATAGGTACTTGTGAGCAGCTGTCCACGCAACATACTCAAGATCGATTAACCAGAGACCAGTAATTATCTACTGTGACAGACGACAGACTAAGAACATTTTAGCCATATCATCCAAAGTAACGGACTACTAGATGCGATAATTACACGGACCCCAACATGATATTCTGCACCTACCTATATGGCCCAGAACAACAATCAATGTCTTCATAAAATGATGCCATGTCTTGGCTTAACTGTCTCTAGCTTTCTCTACTAAAGTCACAAAAATTGCTTCGAACTAGTCTTTTTAAGTCATTTCTCTACAATAAAAAACTTGATATGAAGTACTGGATTTTTACACTGGTAAGGAGGAAATAGCAATAATAATAAATTTTTCCCAAGTTCTTAAAATACCAGAGGCAGTCTTCATATCTGAAGCTATTTATGAGTTATGCGATTGTGATCACTGTGGCTTTGAATAATGAAGGTTGGATAGTTTACATGAAGTCACATTAAACTCCCAAATGACTATGTTTCTCGTTTTTATATTGAGTTGGTGAGTGTATATGCAATAGTTGACAGCAGTCAACTTTCGACCCCGGTGAATATACAAGTATCTATGAAATAAATCCCATAGTTGTCTTATTATATGGGTAAGTTTTAATGACACTGACTACATTATGGTTTTAAATGATTATCTTGAATGTCGACCGTATATCGTTGGCTGGTAGTGCTGAAGTTTTAATCAGTGAAGGCTGTTCATCATGAGAGCTGAAGACAGTAACATACGATTTGTCGTTTACAGCGAATTGAATATATTATTCAGTAAATCCGCATCGCCGGAAGGTCACAATATAGATGAAGAAAATCTGACGCAGAAATAAGAAACAGTAGGAAAAGAAATGAATAAGGTGAGTGGTCTGTTGAAACAAGAGGACTTTTAAATACAGATGTAGGATATATTGCAACGCATATAGCTACCAACTTATATACTAAAGCAAAAGGAGACTACGAAGAGGCAACGGCGTGTGGCTTTATGTTTCTGGGTCATATTTCCTTTAACTTCACAAAGTACAACAGGCTATCCGTTTTAATTAACCTAAAAAATGCTTGTTTCGACTTCGAAATCAGTGTTATATCTAGTTCATCAAGAACATGGGACGTAGTTGACGAATTACCAAACCCGTAAAAAATGAATCGTGCTGATTCTCCACGTTGAGTAGGTGAAGAAGCTAAACGACCACACTTATGGTACATATGTAGATTTCGCAGATACGGGATATATCAGTGGCATTTGGTTCTAGAACCTTTGCTGTTGAAGCCTATTGTGATTTAATACAAGGCTAAAACATTGAAGGGTCCGGTATGTAACTTGGAGCGTTATTTAACGATACGAAATCTATTTTAAAAGCTCGAATGGTTAGCATTAATTACGTATGTGTACGCCGAGAAATCCAGAGAAGTTGATGATGGGACGAAAAGAAACATTAAGAAGCGAATGAGTTTCGGTGAAGCGTTCTTTTAAATTAGGGGTTAGATCGTTTCTAGACATCAAACGTGAGACAGAAGTGAGTTGTCAGAATTTCTTCGCACATGATTAACAGATTTTTTCATCGTTAAATTTGACTGACTATTTTCAACACGTCTCCCGTCATTATCTGGATATTAATTTTGATTGTCTTCCTCATCGACCCCTCGAATGAATTAGTCAGCGAACACTACTGATAAGTTAGGACTAAAAATAGGAAACAGAGGCCTGTTGGTTAGACCATTTCAATTCACATAACCAGAATTTTTTATCAGAACGTTAATCAGTAGCATTGAATCTGTAAAAGTGAGCATTATTAATCAACAATAGGAAATCCCAAGCTTTAATGATAAAGTATTTCTTATCAAATTAGATGACATACTGGCTTAATCTTTTTCAACATTTCAATCGAAAAACGCTCCATACTTCGATGAATCGTACCAAACTGAGTAAATGCTTCGCTTGTGCATGCCATAGGCTCTTTAACACCAATTTCTGAAAAGGTGTCTCCCAACACTTAACAAGTAAAATAAAATACCAATCGAATAAACACATAATGGGTATTTTAAGCAAGCAGCATTAATAATATGCTAGAATAAATTTACGATCATATGAAGATTTATCAGTGAAATTGTTATGCTTTAAAATACTGAACAAAACTACAAATACAGCAATATGCCCTCAATTTCGACCAGGGAATCAAACCGGTGAAGAAACCGAAGACGAATTATTTTCCCAAATGGGAAAATCTATGAAATCGAATGTATATATTAAAAACAACAATGATAAAACATATCTACATACTGAGGCAATATTAAGTCACATTTTAAGTCCAAACGAAGGCGAGTGTTGGGAGTTGTGAAGATTAATATGTCTCCCTTAGTTACCTTTATATTTTAAGCAAACTACTATATCCATTGATATACTCAGGAAGAGAGTACATGTACAGGTTGTTCTGAATATGTCAAAGAAATTTAATACTCAGGTGCAAACTAAATATCACATTTATTAATTCATGCTGTCAACTTTACATCTTAATACAAAATTAAGCAAGATTACTAGTGGATTTAGCATAAGAAAGTTTCTTATCTGACAATCATTCTTTCAGCAAGGTTTCGAAAGTCACTTGTGGAGAAACTCAAACACATGTGATGACCTTATTGCTCACTTTGAGTAATGGAAATATATGAATAGCTGCCACAGCTCAATGATACCACTAATCTGCTACATTCTAAAGGACTGGGTGACTATAACGGATGAGGAGATAAGAATGAGGTATTACTTACGGAGAGCATTCTTTTGATGTTATAAGTTAATGATAATGATATTCAACAACCACATGCAAACTCATGTACTAAACAATGGACTACGACTAATATTTGTGACATGAAGACTAAATAAAAAACAATGTTAATATAACTTATTTAGCAAGTACACATGTATACACTCGGCTTTAAGTCAGGAAGCTATCCAAACTTTTGTACTGATCAGAGCCTCTGTTGCTCGTCGAAAATATTATCTTGCCAATCTTAATCGTGTTCCATATACTAATTCTGTACTTACTTACGCCTGTTACCCCTCGTCGAGGAGCATAGGCCGCTCACCAGCATTCTCCATCCAACTCTGTCCTGAGCCTTCCTTCCCAGTTCTTTTCAGTTGCTATTCATCCTTTTCATATCTGCTTCTATTTCCCGGCGTAGTGTGTTCTTTGGCCTTCCTCTTTTCCGCTTCCCTTACGGATTCCAAGTTGGGGATTTAGTCGTGATGCGCATTGGTGATTTCCTTAATGTATGTCCGATCCACTTCCAACGTCTTTTCCTAATTTCCTCTTCAGCTGGAAGCTGGTTTGTCCTCTTCCATAAAACGCTGTTGCTGATAGTATCCGGCCAATGGATGTTGAGTATTTTGCGTAGACAACTATTTATAAATACTTGTACCTTCTTGACGATGGATGTAGTAGTTCTCCACGTTTAAGCTCCGTACAATAGAGCTAACTGTCTTGACGTTCGTATGAAAGATTCTGACCTTGAACTTGGTTGAGAGTTGTTTTGAGTTCCATATGTTCTTCAATTGTAGAAATGCTGCCCTTGCTTTGCCAATCCTCACCTTTACATCTGCATCCGATCCTCCTTGTTTATCAACGATGCTCCCCAGGTACTTGAATGTTTCCACTTCTTCCAGAGTTTCGCCATTAAGTGTGATTGGGTTGGTGTTCTCCGTGTTGCATTTGAGAATCTTGCTTTTTCCTTTGTGAATGTGGAGGCCTATCGATGCGGAGGCTGCCGCTATATTTGATGTCTTCATCTGCATTTGTTCGTGTGTATGAGAGAGGAGGGCTAGGTCATCTGCGAAGTCCAAATCATCTAATTGATTCTGAGAAGTCCATTGTATTCCGTATTTCCCGTCAGATGTCGAATTCTCCATAATCAAGTCAAACACTAGAAGGAAGAGGAATGGGGAGAGTAGACAGCCTTGTCTGACTCCGGTCCTTACTGGAAATGCATCTGTCAGCTGTCCTCCATGCATGACTTCGCACTGTAGTCCATCGTATGAGTTTTGGATAATGTTGACAATCTTTTCAGGAACTCCATAGTGTCGAAGAAGTTTCCATAATGTTCTCCTATTCACGCTGTCAAACACCTTCTCATAGTCAATGAAGTTGACTTATAGTGATGAGTTCCACTCAACTGATTGTTCAACGATGATCCGTAGTGTCGCAATCTGGTCTGTGCACGACCTATCCTTACGGAATCCAGCCTGTTGATCTCGAAGTTGGGCGTCTACTGCGTCTTTCATCCAATTCAGCAGCACTCTGTTGAAAACTTTTCCTGGTACTGATAACAAACTGATGCCTCTGTAATTCTCACATTTGCTCAGATCTCCTTTCTTTGGTATCTTGATGAGATATCCTTCTTTCCAGTCCATTGGCACTTGTTCCTCTTCCCAAATTTTCTTGAATAGAAGGTGAAGCATATTTGCAGTTATTTCAATGTCTGACTTCAGTGCTTCTGCTGGTATATTGTCAGGTCCTGCCGCCTTCCCACTTTTGATTTGTCTGATGGCCATCTTGACTTCTTCGATCGTTGGTGGAGTGACATCTATAGGAAGGTCAGTGTGGGCTGCTTCGATGTTCGGTGGATTCAATGGGGCTGGTCTATTCAGTAGTTCCTCGAAGTATTCTGCCTATCTTTTCCTCTGTTCTTGAATCCCAGTAATTGTCTTTCCTTCTTTGTCCTTGACTGGTCTCTCTGGTTTGCTATATCTTCCTGCCAATTTCTTCGTTGTATCATATAGTTGTTTCATATTCCCTTCTCTTGCAGCTTTTTCCGCCGCCGTTGCTAGTTCTCCCATGTATTTCTGCTTGTCGGCTTTAATGCTTTTCTTCACTTCCCTGTTTGCTTCTGCATAGTCTGCTTGTGCTTTGACTTTCTCTGCTCGTGTTCGGCTGTTGTTAATTGCTAGTTTCTTGTTCTTCCTTTCTCGAATTTTGTCCAGGGTTCCCATAGCGATCCATTCCTTGTGATGATGCTTCTTAGGACCAAGAACCTCCTGGCACGTTGAAGTTAGTGCTTCTTTTATCCCTTTCCAGTTGTCTTCCATCGTAGTTTCTTGTTCTTTCAGTAGATCATGTAGAGCCTGGAACCTGTTGTTGAGAGTTATCTTGAATTCATTGAGCTTGTCAATATCTCGAAGGAAGGCTGTATTGAACCTTTGCAGTGCTGTTTGTCCAGTTGTCCAGTGTTTCTTTAGCTTCAGTCTCATCTTGGCCACAACCAGGTGGTGATCTGAAGCTATGTCAGCTCCTCTCCGGGTTCTCACATCTTCCATTGATCTTCGGAATTTTTTGTTGATACAGATGTGATCTATCTGGTTCTCTGTGGTTTGGTCCGGTGAGATCCATGTAGCTTTGTGCATGCGCTTGTGTGGGAATATTGTGCCGCCTATAACCAATTTGTTGAATGCACATAGGTTTGCAAGTCTCTCCCCATTTTCATTTCTCTCTCCTAATCCATGTCGTCCAATTACATCTTCATATCCTGTGTTGTCCACTCCAACTTTAGCATTTAGATCTCGCATCAGGATGGTGAGGTCCTTTCGTGAGCACTTCTCTATAATTGATTGCAGCCTTTCATAGAACTGATCTTTATCATCGTCGTTGCTATCATTGGTGGGTGCATAACATTGGATAACGTTCATTGTGATCCCTTGCTTCTTTGTCATGAATGATGCTTTGATTATCCTGGGTCCATGAGATTCCCTTACTACAAGTGCATTTCGTGCTTCTTTGGACAGAATTAGAGCAACTCCCTGAGTGTGTGGAGCATTTTCCCCTTCGTGACCGGAGTACAGCAGCATCTCTCCTGTACCTAGCCTTTGTTGTCCAGTTTGTGTCCAATGGGTTTCGCTGATTCCGAGCACTGCCAAGTTGTATCTCTTCATTTCCATTGCTATTTGACTGGTCTTTCCTGTCTCCCACATTGTCCGGACGTTCCATGTACCTATAAAGAGTGTTGCTCTGGTTGTTAGAAGGTGCATCGGTCTCGTGACTTCCGAAGAATTTCGGCTTTCATCATGAGACGTCATAATTATTCCTTCAACCCCCAGGGCAGAGTTTAAATGGATTGAATTTTTTTTCTGGCTAGCGTTTTTTTAGCGAGTTAGCTTTTCTACGGGATGGGGTCGCTAACCCCATGCCCAACCCTCCTTCTTTACCCGGGTTTGGGACCGGCAGTAACTATAGAAGAGCTACAGGCGGTGTTATACTAATTCTGTAGCACAACTTAAGTCTTGCCTAACTGTAGAAATATCAAGCATAGTTATGGGTGATTTACCCATCAATTTATTACTATTCTGTACTGCTATTAAATATATATTTAGTCGTTGGTGGGATCGCTAAACCATTTCATTCGCGATTGGATGATAAATTGTAGCCCTAACTTTTTAATACCCAAGAACAGGCCTATCTATAGCGATTAGAGCTTGTACTTTGAAATTCACTACTCAATGTTTAGCGACATTTTTGGAAATGTTGCTGTCGTCATATAATCCAATGGTATCTTATAAATCCATTAATACATGTTAAAATATACATATACCAGTTTGGTGGTGGTAACAGCCCAAAGGTTCCTATGTGGAAATAGTTGAATCTACTGTCCGGCTCAGTGGGTGGTCCCAGTAGGCACAGTTGTTATCAATGGACTTTAAACCTTTGGCTTACTAAACGGGCATGGCACAAATGTCAGATGCCTCCGTTCATTTCTGCCCACACGTACCTTTCAGTAATTAATTTAGTCGTGGGTCAATTTTTAGAATGAAAAATTTGGTGTAATTTGTCAAATATTGGCTTTCTCAGTGCTGGCGGTTCGTGAACGTATCACAGATTACGCTCACTGTGTCGGCGAAAGGGTGATGCTTATAATTCCAAAGTGTTTCGACTTACTGCCCGTCTCTCAATATCTTTATCTACATCTATTGTCTGAGATAATCGTACAATATCCACGTAATTGGTTTGAAATGTATCAATGATAGGTTGGCAAAATGAATCTGCAACTGTGTTAACTCTACCATTAATGTGCCGTATATTGAGCGTAGACCGGAAAATAAATTCTAAGTGTTGTATCTCCTTCTATGAATAGGTATATTTTTTGGCGCTTCCGGCTTTTGTAAGAGGTTTATGGTAATTGCATACAATGAAAACAATGCCTTTCATCATCTGCCAACATGCTTAAAAATATTTTTGACTCAAACGTAATTTTCACCCTGCATTTTAATTTCATACAATTCTTATGTATCCACTAAGCAACCTGACATTTCAATATTTAGACTAATTATATGTTATTGGAGCAAGTGACCAGCATTGCAAAAAATGTATACACCTTAACTTAATTACACTTCCGCAATACTCTATACAGAGTACTAGATACGTAAAAATAAACCAATAATAAAGTTAAGTGAACGTGGGTATGACTGTCATGAAAGAAAACATTTATTAAAACATCTTACCAGCATAGACACGAGAAAGTTCATAGATTGCACGTAACAATTTTTTTGCATGATTTACCATACCCGAAAACACATTTGATGTTTTATTGAGTTCTTCCAACTTTTTAACCATACCATCTACAAATTATCATTTTCCTGATATGAAAAGATTATCTAACAAACCATTTACAAGAATAGCTCGGCTTAGACCTAAAGCATCGGCTGTACTAGATTCCATTGTTTCAACAATACGATGTTTTACCTTTTTTAGTACTGTAATAAGATGGTTATGATAATCTAAGTAAAGAAAGTAATAATTACTTAAGTCTAGCGTTTTTCCTTGTTTTGGGTCTGCATGAAGTTTGTTATAGTTAATTCTTACTTCATCCTACAATAAAAAGAGGATGAATATATATATATATATATATATATATATATATATATATATATTAGGAAAGTACATATTGTTTCGTCAGGAATTTAGAGTACGGGATCTCAATAAGACACACTAGTTTGTGGGATAAGAAAAAAGCTTTATAATATAGATAATTCCCTTTTTCCTTGAGCAAGCTATACAATACTAAACAACTAGGACAATGTAGATGGTAAAATAATACAAATTGAAATCACCAAACTTTGAAATTCAGTAGAGCCAAAGTAACGACAGCAAGGTCATGTAAAATATAGGCGTATACATCACTGTCTACACATTTTACAACAATAAAAGGACCAGGCATTTATATTTTCATCTGTGGCCTAGCAGTCCATACGGTTGGCCTTTAACTAATTGAGGTGCAACCCCTACTTACTGAGGTTAAGGAAATCAAGGAGAGTAGTTAGCTGTTACACAATAAACGCTAGTAGGCGACTAAATGAAATCTTTACGACATAGTTCTTTAGATGAGTCTACCTTGTGTTAACTAGTGTTGCGAACCAATAATTTTTATTTCAATATATCATGGGCTATGAAAGTTAGACAGTAAATTAATGGCCTGACACACTACTATCGGTCTAATAGCTGTATTTAACATCGTGAGTCAAGATGATCGGTGGTTTATCCATTATATTATACACCACTAGTTCCGTCAATTGATACAGGTTAGCCTGGTGCATACATTCTACTTATTGGTTGCACGATAGATTATATTCTCCCTAAATATATTACCTTTGAGTATAAAACTCGGAACTATTTGGGCATATGATGAGAAGAGAACTAGAATCCCACACTAACAACTTTCCGCCCCACAAATATAAGTGGCTTGGAATCATTACCCTCACCATTATTGCTTGTTGGTCAGTAACTCCATCCTCCCTCCTTTTGTAGTGTTGGGTTGTTTACAGTAATTTCCAGATCAAATCTTATGTCATACACGAGATCCTATGTTTTATATTCTGATGGAAACCACTATGTTATAAGTGTATCAGATGGTTACAGCTTATGTACAGTTGGTCAAACATCGACCCAATACTTCAAATTGCTTGACTATAAATTATGGGTTTTCAGACAAAGTATAAGTATTTCGGAAGGCATAACAGCAGACATTTCATCGAACTGGGCAGAAAGGTGTGGGAACATAACAGTTATAAGGTAATAGGTAACGAGATGAATTTGATGACAGTTCATCAAAGCTTACATGAGAGCAGTTAACTGATGAGGAATAAAGGAGAAGGGGGTCATAATAATTTGGTTTTGATGGTGTTTTGTGTTAACAAAACTGGGTGACGGTTTACAATTAATGCAAAACCACTGGTAGATGGACAGCAAATTGTGAGACTCACATGACGACTTATTGAAATCGACGTGTTTGTTTCTTGCGATTGACTATATGTGACCAGTTTTGATGGGTGTTAACAAATAAAGGAGTTGACACATTTCAAAAAATTCGGAACCGGATACTGCATAGAGAAATGTACGTTTTCATAGACTACTAATTATATTTCAAAAAAGTGGGACCGACCGCATGTAAAACAGAAATGCTTTGTTTGAAAAACTGGTTTAATGAGGAATTATGGCCACTATTTAGCCGAAACAAGGAGAATAAGATGAGTAGGATCTCAGATGAAAATGATCAAGAACGTAAAACCATGGGAGTTATTCGATTTTGTAACTGTTTAAGATCCAACGACTTAAAGTTGTTCTGACCAAGCCCGACACTTACAAGACTTAGAATAGGCTTTTGAGGTTCATATATCCAATGAAGTCTTAACGTCAATACATTAGTTTTAACTGAAGCACATAAATTAATTAGGAATATAGTAATATCAAAAATAATACGATTAGGTTGGATAAACAAAGTTAACACCTACCTTGAAACTTTGAATAAGTCGAGCAGCTTCCACTTTAGTTTTGCCCTTTACAGATATGCCATTGACACCAGTTATTTCGTCCCCAGCTTGAAGACTACCATCTTCTGAAGCTGGCGTGGAGTCAAATATTTGAACAACGTAAAGGCATGGACAGTATGGGGCTCCCCCTCCAATACTTATACCCACTAGATTCTGTGGGTCCTTTTTAAGTTTCACACAACCACTCGTTACGGTCATCCCACTAAAAAGTTGTGGTAAATAGAAGGATTTAGGAGAGAATGCAAAAACTTAATTCCAAATAATAAGACTTTCTATAAGCCAAACAATAGTAAACAATCCGTAAGTTCACTGCCAGTACGTTGGTATGAATACACAAAAATTTATATTCAGTTCACAATCAACTTCATCACAAATAGTGATAGAATTATTTGAAAAATGGACAAGCGGTAGACTTTCTATTCCACGCTGGAATACTTCTAGTTTATTTCATTTGCAGAACAATGTAAATGCAATGACTAGTCATTTTCGCCCCCAAATGCCCTGGTACGGTCGAAAGTGGGAAGAGTCCGCTCTCCCTCTCGAAATGCTCTCACACATGACCACACGCAAACAACCACTGCCACGGAAGTCCCACTCACTTCCTTGTAGTGGCGGGGTGTTGTTTACGAAACTGAGAGAACGAAAAGCGAATGTCCGGCGCCTTAACCGGGTTGATGGACACGGAAATTCCACCTAGGGGAGTTGGGAAACCCTCATTCCAAACCAATGGTGCACATGGATTCCAGTATCCTGAGGGCGAACAAATGGCGTAGGAATTAATTGTTGGTCACCGGCTACCATGGGACTACATCTCCTCACGATGCTCCACTGCCCTGTGGACTAGATATTTAGGTCGAAAACTCAGGGTGTGCCCCCCCCCAAGATAACCACCTGCTTCGGTCTGGGCACCCGGGCAGTATCACAGCCCTCACACAGACAAATAAAGGAAAAAATGATATCTACTGAAAATACTATTCACGCTCCTACTAAAATTCAGACAATTCACATTATTATTATTTACCACACAGCTTATTCACTCCCTTTTATTCCCAATTTGTGTATCCTTACTTTTCAACTTGGGCAGCAGCTCGCCTATGGTGGAAACTCTGTTCCATCTAAACGATCTTCAGTCACTGTATGGTCGAAAGTGAATGCTTCCACCGAATACGAATACTGAACCAGTTTTTCTGAAACCACGTACACAGTTCAAACTGGCTTCCTTCAACTTTCACAAACTAATGAGGATCAGACAACAGATAGGACTGGCTATGTTTTTGGAAAGTCTTCATGTCGACGTCTGTTGTCTATCCGAGACACGTATTCAAGACTCTGGTGAAGTACTGCAAATTCACTCTCCATCTGTCGCTTTGAAAAGCTTGTTTCACGTGCGTTTATCCGGGGACCCTGTGGCATCTTCGTCTGGCCTTGCTGGCATTGACGTCGCACTAAGCGCTAGAGCTGAGGCAACACTAATCGATTGGATCCTCATTAACAGTTGGCTCTGTGCTGTTAGATTAGACAGCTCCATCAAAGTGGGAAGAAATCGGCGTGAGTAACGATGTCTTCTCGTCATCTCCGCCTATGCCCCGACAGATTGCAGCCCGGATGCAATCAAGGATGAATTCTACCACCAATTAACTGTTCTCCTCAAAATGCGTTCCACAGATATTGTAATACTAGCCGGAGACTTGAATGCACAGGTCGGGCGTCTAGGCACAGAGGAGAGTCGTTGAGGTGGCCGATAGGGACTTGTTGTTCGCAGGACAGATAACAGGAACCTTCTACTGCAACTGTGCACAGACTGCAACCTATTTCTGGCTAGCACTAACTTTCGGCACAGTCATCGCCAATGTGCCACCTGGCGTTCTTCCTCTGCATCTCAAGCCTGGACTCAGATTGATCACATCGCGATCAGCTACCGCTGACGTGGTTGTGTACAGGACTGCCGCTCCTTTTGGAGTATCTATCTGGACTCTGATCATGCCCCGATCTGCGCCAATCTTACCTTTTATATTTATTTAAACACAAATATTGGTACAAAGGGGCACTAGATATATACGCGCCACACAAAACAATGAGAATCGGAAGAGAAAAGAGGTGAGATGAATATATATATATGAGTAATAATTGGGGAAACTGAAATTTACAACCAAATCTCTTCCACTTGATGAAGTTATGACCACTCTTTATAAAGAAAGTAAAAAGGTTGCAGCAGGATCGCCACTCGCTTCTATTCTGAGCCATATCTGATAACATCTCTAGCCACTGTGTTGCACCATCTCTCGGACCCCAGCCAGGGAGTCGTGAAGGACCAACAGAAGCCAGCCCTTTGTAGCTTTCTTTCATACCACGACACTATGTCATACACTGACTACCTTCTGCTTTTTCCAACTAGTCCCAGCGTCGGCAAATAATGCGCAACGTGGAATTCTCTGGGACGACACTCGTAGAACATGTCTAAGTCACCGAAGTCGGCGTTTCAAGATGGTGACACCAATCGGATTATCGCATCTGCGCCCGAACACACGATGCCGAACCTATGCATTACTAACATGGTGTTGCCACTGGATGTCAGCAATCCTTCGGAGACAAGGATGATCAAACACAGAGTAGTCTAATATCCTCAATTCGAAGAGGCCAGGTTTCACAAGCATAGAGCAAAACTGCTCTCACTGACGCGCTGTAGATTCGACTAACATCACGAAGGCGCCAAAATGGCCCAGATCGGCATAAGCCGCTCTGGCTTTCACTATACGTGCATCGATCTCATCACTCACGCCGCCACCAGCACTTATGCAGTTACCTGCCAGTCGTGCAGAAGTACTTTGCACTTGGAGGGTGCAAAGCACATGCCGTACCTGCGGACACTGATTGCCAACTGATTAAGTGCGGATTGCATGCTTTGGGCATCATCTCACAGTAAGACAATATCATCCGCATATTCAAGATGGAGAAGCCTTTCTCCAGGCAACAGATCCACACCGCCATTACTTATGTCCATTACAGCTGTTTCCAGAATGTCATCGATGGCAAAGTTGAAGAGGAATGGTGAGATTGGGCAACCCGGACTAACACCACTGTTTGAATGGAACAATGGAGAAAGGTGGTTGTATGCCCTCACTCTGCCTGAGGTGTTTGTATACAGGGCCTTTAAGATGTTAATAAACTTCTCGGGCACACCCTTCTTCAATAGACAATCCCAGAGAACAGTTCTGTCCAACGAGTCGAAGGCAGCCCTGATATCAAGATACACTACGATTGTTGGCCTGTGATAAATATGACGGTGTTCTAACATTTGGTGGAGGGTGAAGATATGATCAATGCATCCTCGACCAGAAAGAAAACCAGCCTGCTCCTTGCGAGTCAGTCTTTCTCGGGTTTTAAACAACCTACGAAGAATGATAGAAGCCAATAGTTTGGACGCAATCGGAAGTAGACTTATCCCCCAATAGTTGTTACAGGAACGACGTGAACCCTTTTTAAAGGACAACTATCGACTCATTCCATGACTTTGGAACGCCCTCTAGCTCCCAGATCTTTGTAAACAACTCAGTCAGTTCCTTAGTCAGAAAGCCACCATCTTTAAAAAGAGCTGGAGGTAAGTCATCTGGGCCCGGCGATTCGTAGCGTTTTAAGAGTGAGATTTCCTTGCGCATTACCGCGTTATTTGGTGGAGCAGTCATCACCGGACATGGAGGACAGGATAATTTGGTCAATGTTGCCGGAGCAGCAGGCCAGTTGAACTGCCGTTCAAAGAATTCTGCTCATCGTCCAAGACATCGATAGATGTTAGTGACTGGCATCCCGTCATCCTCACAGATTGTTTCACTCACACCAGACTTCTTGCTGGCAGTGTCAATGAGTAGTTTAGTATTTATCGAAATCAAAACCGAAAAACCCAAGGTAGAGAGATGTAACTATGATTTAAATCAACCATTTTGTGTTTATCTCAAAATTAAATACCCAAAATTTTTTTACAGCTTAGTCATGTGAATGTCAGTGGGTACGGTGAATCCTGTTTTATCTTATAAGTATGATTTAAGGACAAAATTTTAATCTTGATTCATTTAATCCGTATTATACGTATGCCCTGAAAGCATCTTAAATGGATCATCGAGTCACGCGCAAAGACTGAATATATGCAGAAAATCCAACAGACGTATGGAAAGTTGCAAGGTATGCTTCCCATGAAAGCTTAAGTAGAGGTGATACCATCAAAATGAAGATGCAAGAGCATGGGAAAATGTGAGCTAATACGACGACGAATGATTAGCATATTAGTAAAATGTGAGACTCGTCGAATCCAAAACATAAAAAGCAAGAACCCAGATTTACTAAGAAAGTAAACTGAGGTTGCATTCTTATCACTCACTAGTCTTGTTCACAAGAACCAGGAACTCCAAAGAGCCAGATACTTCTCCGAGACTATGTGTGCTTGGAAATTTTGCGCTAATGCATACTTAATACAGTGATTACAACTTAGGAATCGTAACACACAATGAATAATTTCGTATCACGTTAGGAGCCAATGACCGTTTCATGTTTGCATCAGAGAAACCAAACAAACTTGTGAAATGCAGTTACTAAATCTGTCCTACGAAAGACTGATTACACAGACCAATCGTTAACTTTGAATCTCGGTAAACAACTATTTTAGATCAAAGTAACTTTACTGAATAAAAAGCACTACGCTACCGCTGCAAAATTTAAAATTATACCCTGACTACGTGGAATTACTAATATTTTATTTCACTTCAACATCATACTCACAGTTTGTTTTCTTCGTAGCCATGATCATAGAAATCCATCGTCAGTTGGCACCAGTGTTAAGTACGCGGTCAGAAACGTACGATATTCAATTTCAACCCGAAGACACCACATCCTTTAATTGTGACTGATGAGAATAGTATCCCGGTCATACCTTCTGCTGTTTAGAGTCTTGATGCATATTATTGGGCTTGATTTACGGATATTCAGTCATTTCCTTAACGTAGGGGTATAACATAAAGGCAAGTGTCAATAGCTATCGATGCGTTGCAGAAATCTCCAACTCATGTTTCAACAGGTGCTTTTACTTTGAAGAACTTGACCGGTGATCTAGGCCATATTCTGACACAGATCTTGTGAGACCCATCTTCAACTTCTAAATACCTATCTCAGTATTCCCATGACGACTTGCATGTGTAGGGCCAGAGAAATATCACTGAGCCCCACCCAAAGTATATGTCATTTGGGCCACTGAATATTAAAGAGTTCTTCAATGCCCGCAAAGTTCAAGGAAAAACAACCTTCACCAATTAGTCCTGCTCCATGGACTGGTCCATGAGGTGATGGTCATATTTTCGCTTACATCTACTGTAACCAAAATATTTTTGTAATAACTTCCTTTGTGTTATATAGTCTTCAAAGCATCAACAGTGTCTTCATACGACGAAGGCGTAAACCTCGTTAGCTGCTGACCGTGAGATATGACTTCGAAGTTAGCTGTTATTCACACGGTTCCCGGCTAACTCGAATAGACCCACAATCATTCGACATACGTTATCTATGTTAGTGATCTACACATTTGTTTAGGACCAAACATAACTAGTTTCAAACGTTAGACCATTTCTGTTTGTCTTTTGTGTACGTATGAAGGAGCTTGGTATTAAAATTCCCTAATTCCTGAATACCTTTTAATTGGTTAGCCGATTATCTGTATTCTAAAAAATATCTTCAAATTCTTCCCGTACTTCACTCACTGTTTTATTTTTAATCTTAATTTTCGGATCTCTTGTACATCTATTTTCCAGACTTGCTTGGGGTATTCAACCTATATTACTATTTTCACTATATGATGATTTATCCACTTAGTAGCCAGTAATACTCCAAATGTAAACAACTAAATAGCTTGGCACTGATATTGACCATATTTATTGTACTGAAAACACAACTAGTTGAATACGCCTGCTCAAACGTCAGCTATAGGTCAGTTCTCAACTCGTTACGAGACGCACCTCCACCCGAAGCTTCCCAGTTTAGATATCTTAAGCTACTATACCTCTATCGACAATTCAAGTATATCTTTCCATTTAGTCATCTCGATGAACATGTCAATTTAGGAGATTGGGATATCAACTCAAAATTTTATCGTATCACACCCATCCTCACCTGTCTGGCCGGAAGGTAAAGATATTGTCTTATTTTGTTGAGACGGATGCTTACATTTACTATGTGACCGACTCATGTAATCTCCCTTTGTAATCACATTATGGCACGGTCTCGAAAAGTACACTATATCATTTTTGTGTTGTACCAATGTTAAAGAATATTCTGAAGTGATCAAAATGACTATTCTGATGTGATGTGATGTAAGTCTAATCAAAATAGTGATTACGTAAATTGTTTCATAATAGTGAAGTAGGAAATCGTTCGACCAGATGAATTTTTATTAAGATTACTCATAATCGTACTCCATTTATTATTTGCCTCCAAATATTTTTGGTATTCTTATCACTGTTTAGCATAACTTAAACCATATAAATCTTTTTAGACAGTAATTTCATTGAAATGTGTGCTTCCCTCAATAAACACACATATGTACTTTTGATTATTCCTAACGTTTAGACACTGGCCTCTGAATGTTACCTCTGTCATGTTACTAATTGTTTATCTTCATGTTCAGACAGCTCGAAATGTATAACCTGAGTTTACTTGAGTGTAGTGTCACTAAAATCTACTGGACCATTTTTTGAATGCTGTGATGGATAGACACATCATGATTATGAAAAGTTTATGACTATGGTCATCGTGCCACAATAAATTCTTAGAAGCCTACATACTCGACAAATTCAGTGTGCTCTATAACTCAAATGCTCAGCTCGAATCCCTGTGCCATGTGGAGCGAAAGCTTGCTCTGTATAAAAGAATATTTTTTCATGTTTTGCACAACTAAACTTCTAGGGTCTACTGGAGTATGAGGTATTTTTTATTCCCCTTGCTGACTTCAAATAATGTCGACGACGTATGGGGAATATAGATCTTTGATTGGCTTCGTACATGTATACACTGACTTAATCCTGCCATGGAATAACGGAATAACATAAGCCAATTATGAGAGTGCTTGATAGTCATAAATCTCATGCAATCATTAACGCAGACATATTTTGAGACTGGACTCAAAGAAGCAAAACCTGCCAATTCAGTATATATCGGATGGATAAATCTCCACATAAAATAAGTATTGTGTAAATTGCCATTAACCGACTAGAAAATGAATGACAGACGCACGTGGGGCAAGAACACATATAAAACGCATGTAAATTTAATGAACAGGGTATGACAGGATTAGAAAGCAAAATTTGATTATTTTACTTATTGTGATTTTTGTTCAAAATTGCTTCCGTCTCAATTCAATGTGATGATTACTCAGTGTAGTACTTGTTTCGTTACCCATTGTGATATTTTATTCGGTATGGCATTAATTTCTTTGAGTGTGATTTTTTTCAAGATACGATATTCTTGTGTTAAAATGACATGAACTGTGCTCAGCATGTCACGTGGCATGTGATTTATCATAACTCTACTTATGTGTGATTTCATTCTAATTAATAACCAAAATGGTGAACAGTCAATGTATAGATGAGTGTATCTCCGACTGGGGTCGTCGTGTTTTTGGGCCCAATAAATCTTTACTTGTGTTGGTCTTGGTGTTCTTACTTCGCGTCGTGGAAACTGCAGTGGTTCCTCGTTTTATAAACATAAGTAATAAGCAATTTCGAAATAACATACTAACAATGAAGTCATAAGAAAATGAGGTCATGAGTGATAAAGATACTTAAGAATGTCATGCAAGAAGTGTTACGTATTTTTCAGAAAGTTACAAGTCGTTTACTTAGTCGATTTTTGTATTTTTCGAGTTATTATATCCCTGAAATCGACTGACTGACTTGAGCTTTGTGTCAGGATATTGAATCTGGATATGTGTAGTGACGGTAAGGATTTATTTGACCTTCAATACAAATCGCACCGTTGTCCGAACACATCAATTCTACTTGGCTCGTTTACAGTTAAATGTGTGTAATTTGAAAGAATCGGTATTTAGCATAGAGTAATCAAGAAATCACTATGTGAACACACTTAAAATACGACAGAACTAAGCATATACAGGCAAGATATACAACTGAATAATCATATCAAACAATCACTCCACGTCAAGATCTGATAACATTTCACAGATGGTGGGGGAAAATCAACCACATGTCTCACCTGGATTTCAGTAGATGAAGTCACGGATCATCATGCCACACGTAAAGATCCATGCAGTTCAATAAAACATACTGAATAAAAAACCTCTTCCATAGTGCGAAATGTATGTGTTGGAAGAATTACCTATTTATATAGTGGCGAAATTTATTTAAACAGTTTCCTCAGCATTAACCAAGTGTCAGAATCACTACTTACACTGGAAACCACACAAACCTCTTACGACAAAGTGTTACTTTCAGTGGGCGACGGAGATAAGATCTCCGCGACCAATACCAAGAGCGACTGCTACCCATGGTTTGGTTTACAGACATTAATTTATCCTTTAAAACACTACATTCACACAGCTTTCAGTGAACTAATAATCATAATAATTTGCGTCGGGAATTCCTGAAGCATCCCTCATCAAAGTCTATGAAGGTCCAAAACCCTGTAGGAAATTTTACATTCGATCAACCTTGACTTTAAGCCTCGAAAAACAACTAGGAAATGAAAAATCGTGTCTTCGTTTATATAATGGACTATGCTAATACTATGTTTAATTTTCCCAGAAAATTTCGGAAGCCGAAGATCACGAATTTCGGTACATTCGTTACACCCAGTATCTACATTAAGTGTTTTTATCTTATTAAGGACAACGGAATAACACTAGTCCCCGGTCAAGTGACAATTCGAGCTAAATGTGCCCTCCCTTGGAAGATTTATCGTTGAACAGTGAATGGTCGATGAATGATGGTGAAGGCCAGTCAGAGTTAACGTGAGAACGTGACGTCAACCTAATGGCTTGGTCATCCAGAGGTGGTAATCGTTTATAACTCTTTCGTCTATACACTAAATATGTTATTTCGTTGTTAATATTGGTTTAGTCATTCGGGGGTCCCGTAAAAATAACAAGCTCTGACTATTGGGTAGGACAGTTCACAATAGACGATGATGTGGCATCGACGCAAGACCATATCAACCAGTGAGTCACATCTGGCCGAGTCAAGTATATCTTACCAGGTCTATTAATCTAGTAGCATAAATAACTTCATAACAATTACCACGCTAGTAAGGTGCACACCTCACCCTGAGCTTCTGCAATTGCCCACTTTTCTAAGGATTATTTTATATCTTTATCAGGAAGACTATCATTTGCAGCTGAAAGGCGTGGTGCAATGTACTGAGGATTACCGGAACTCTACCACGGTTGACATTGACATTAAACCTGTCGTGGCATTGATCCTAATGACAGTCTTCAAAGCTGAACATGAGATAAGTGAGAAAACAGACCCTCAACACGTAACATCAAGAGGAGGTTAAAAAGCGTGAACGCAGGAACATTTATTCAACTCAATGGAACGGCATAGTTCAGCCTCGCAGACGTGGTCATTCTGTAAAACCTGTATTTATTAACACAAAATATAATATTCTATCTTGTAACTATGGGGAATTCAGATTTCCTGGGTTACAGACTTTCTGACGACAACTTACTTAATTACGCCTGTAACCCACCAGAAAGAATAATAAGCCGACCGCCACCACTCTCCATTCAACTCTATCCTGAGTAATCTGTTAGTTATGT